TATAATAGACATTTGAGTATTCTCCAGTGACCTTTCACTTTACTAATCTGTGATCGTACTAATTCAGGAAAGACTAATGAGGTTTTCAATCTCATTCTTGGAAATAAGCTTTATCGAATATTTAATAGAAAGAAAGAAAAGACGCGTTATATCAAGAATAATGATTTGCTATTAATTAGCCACAATCTTAAGAAGCTAAAATATATGTACCTCAAATCAGCATGTCAGATAATTACAAAAAGTCTAAAATCCTATCGTAAAAATATTACATTCTGAGCTTTGAAGCCTGATAAAATCCCTAAAGTAGATTCATTTTCTCCAAATAGGGCTATAGTACTCATATTTAAAATGTATATGTTAACCTGAAAAAGTGCAGGAGAAGATCATCCCTTATTTTGTTAAGAAATGCTATTACAATGTCAGTTCAATATATGTATCCTAAAATTACTTTGATTACCTAAAGATAATATGAAAAAATCTCACACATGTCTACCTATTTAATAGGTCCTGCATTATAAATGAACTAGTCAGAATTATGCGTCAATATGCTAATGACTGGCATAATGTGATTAAGATTATTGATAAGACATTATGTGAGCAAAAATTCATTATTTTCGATCTAATTGTATTTTGAGAGCATCCACACAGGATACATATTGACTGGAATATACCACTTCTTAATGGAAATCTAATTTCATAAATGCCAACTTTTTTTTTACCTCCTGTAGTTGCATCTTCAGATCCTCATTTTTACATTGCAATTTCTTATTCGCACTAATCCGCTCTCTATATTTCCTTTCTATATCTTGCATAAATTTTTCAAAAATTCTTTTATTATAATCAAGTAGATGCTAGCGAAACACTTTAAACTTATTCATAATCTGACGATTATTCTCTTCTTCATGATTACAAGTGATATTATCAGTTTGGGATCCATTATTTGTAACGTATATAGTTGATATTTTTTTGAAAGATAAAGATGTCTGACACTTTGGCCAACTTTGAGTTTATCTCTGACTAGAGTGGAATAAAATTTAAGTCCTGGACTCTAGGACCGAGTCTTAGAATTCAATCTTAATAGGACTGAGTTCCTATCTTTAGAACTTAATTAGAATGATTTCAAATCGGTCTTATATTAATTTAGCAATATTTCAGGTTATTTTTGTGAACACAATCTTATGTTGTACAACCTATACATGGTTATATGATCTATTTGATATAAAATGTTGAAAAAAAATAAATGTTAAATAATGTTATAATATTTGAAAAAAAGTCAATTAATTCAATATTTGGAAATTAATAGAAAATGAATTAGGAAATGTCGTATTAATTATTTTTTGCTTTAAATTAAAATTCTTTTAATCATGACGCGTTTTAGTTTTCCTTTATCTCATTTTTTTTTCAAAAAGTTCTTTGCTCATGAAATGCAAAATTTGCCAAACCACTTCTTTTATTAAATACTCTTTTTTTAACTTTTGAACTTGGTTTTTTTTGAAGTCAACACAATTGTTAACTGTTTAATAATACAAAATTTATAGTTTAAGCCATCATTAAGTTAAATAATAATTGAAAATGATCCTGATGAATTTGATTTTTTTTTGGATTATGATTTTGAGCAAGACCATGATTTTGAGCAAGATCCCGATTTTAACCAGATTATGATTTTGAACCAGGCTATGATTTTGAACAGGATTATGATTTTGAACAAGATAAGCAAAATTAAAATATATTAAATGATTCTAATGAAGAAGATAACAATAATAATAAAACCTTACCTCAATCTCATCGAATTTCACCAACATGAAAGTATTTTAATGACCAAACATCTCAACATTCAGGACGTCCAGTTTGTTGTAAATATCAAAGTGTTTTTGGAAAAGACACTAGTATTTCAATCCTAAAATGACACTTATTATCTGTATATAAAATAAAAATAGATAATGTTAAAAATATTGAAAACAATCAAAGCATTTTGAATTTCAAGCGAACTGATCCTTGGCCTAATAAAGAAAAAAAAGAACGTGATATTGTAGTAATAGAGTGGATAATTGGTGATGTACAGCCTTTTCGATCAGTTGAACATCCTCGATTTATAAAAATAGTTAATACTTTTGATTCTCAATATCAAGTTCCAAATAAGACAACTATTAAAAATTTAGTAATAGATTATTTTGGAGAAAAACGTAATAATATACAACATAATTTAAATACAATTCCAGGTAAACTGTCATTAACGGCAGATATATGGACCTTAACATTCAACAATAATGCATATCTTGGCTTAACAATTTACTACGTTGATCATAATTGGAAGTTACAACACTTTTTATTAGATATTGTTTCTTTTACCATTCGTCATACTGGTATTAATATAGCAAATACAATAAAATCTGTTTTAGCAGAATTTAATATTCTTGAAAAAACTTTAGTTTTAACTATTAATAATGAATCAGCAATGTTAGTTTGTAGAAAAACTATAGCAAAAGAACTTGCAGTTGAGTTTGATAATCAATCTTTTTGACATTACAGATGTTCTGCACATATTTTGAATTTAGCAGCACAATAAGGAATCAAAATTATTAATAATGAGATTATTAAAATCTATGAACTAATACAATAAGGAATCGAAATTATTGATGATGAGATTATTAAAATCTGTGAACTAATGAAAAAAATTAAAAATTCACCTCAAAAGTGTGATAGATTACGAGAATTATGTTTAATAGAAAATTTACAATATTATAAACCACAACTAGATATTAAAACCAGATGGAATAGTACTTACTATATGATTATAAAATTTCAAAAAATGTTACGTCTTATTGAAATGTTAGTTGCAACAGATTAGAATATTAAAAATTTGATATCAGATATGCAAGAATGGATAAAAATAAATGTAAGTAAATTTGTATAATTTTTTTTATTTTTTTTTTTAAAAAAAAAAATTAACATATTTTATAAAATAAATAGGATATTCTTACTTTACTTGAACCATTAGAAAAAGTAACAGTTTTGCTTTCAGCCTCTTCTTATCCTACTATTTCTGATGTTAGATTTTTATTTCTTGGAATTCAACAACATCTAAATGATTATATTGGAAAATTAGAATTTAGTCAAAATGAGTTAGCATTATCAATACTTCAAAAAATCAATTAATATTGGAAAATAGTAAACTCATTTACCTTAGTAGCTACAGTATTAGATCTGCATACAAAACTTACTTTATTTGTTACAGAAGAAGAATCAACAAATGTGATTAATATAATAAAAAGTTATTTTACTCAATATCATATACCACAACCTCAAATATCATTCGTAATTAATCATAACAATAGTAAAAAATAAGTATTCAGGAATATTTTTATCAATTAAAGAAGAGGTGATTAGAAAATACAAATAATATTGTTAGTACTACTTCAACAACTGAAAAAACATCTGGAATTTATGAAGAGTTTGATCGATATCTTACCTTGCCATGTGATGACAATATTGAACCTTTGTTATAGTGGCAGGCTCATTTTCATGAGTTTTCAGTATTAGGGATAATGGCACGAGACCATTTATCCATCCAGGCTACCAGTGTTGCATGCGAACAGGCATTTTCTGTTGCAAGTAATACTATAACCCATACTAGAAATAGATTGTATTCAGAGACGTCTCACGCATTATTATATTCAAAAAGCTGGCTTAAAAGAGGAGTAGGAGAGAAAAATAATAATATAATATATAAATATCTATGTAGCAAAGTATTAATTTGATTAATACTATTAAATAAAGAAAGATTTTGCTATTTTTTTCATTGAAATTTAGCTTTGTTTGTGAGTTGGTAAATAAATTGCGACTATGATTTATGCTTTATTATTGCAATTTACATATATAATATGTTACACAAACTTTTTGACAATCTACACAATAATTAAATGTTTTAATTTTTAAGAAAAGACTCAGTCTTAATATCAGTCCCAAATAAATCACGGGACTTTGATAAGATAAAGTTAGTCCATTAACGTGTCAGGACTTGCAGATTTTGGGACTTTAACTGGATTATGATGGACCTTTTTCACCTATCTCTGACGCATTAATCTTTTCTGATATCTAATAGCTTCATGTTTTAAAAATAACTCTAATTTCACTAGCCTCTTTTTCAGATAATGGGTTATACTTCTGTGATGTGAAATGTATCTATACTTCATTTATTAAGAAAGCTGGTAATTTTACTAACAAGTCAGAATATATCTAGTTAAACACTATTATATATTTATATATTCTGCAAAAAAATATGAAATTTCATAGAATTTCAAAAGAAAATAGATCATTAGGATCAGTTTTATTAAAATATAAATAATAGTATATCTATGGTTGAACTAGGCGTTAAAGCTAAAGAATAGGCTTATTTATAATTTTACAGAACTTTCTAGTGATATCGCAAAATCTAGTACTTATTCTCACATTTTTAAACTCCCTATCATGTCAAAATGGATGACATTTAACTCCCTCTTCTGGAGCTTTTCACTTGGTCAGTATGGATTAGTTACAATATAATCTTTATGAGAGAAGTATAATCCAGATCTCTCAAGGATAAAGTTGCTTTTTATACTTAAACACTTACTCAAAATGGTTATTTAGTTTAGGAATTGATGCTGTCGCCAATAGTTTGAGAAGAGCTTTCAGATGAGGACTATTAGGATTTTTTATAGTTAGATCACAATAAAGATGATGGTAGTCCCTGTTATTATAAACTTGTTTGAGATACCACTGATCAGTGATCTCATATCTATGGATTTTTCTTAACCAATTCACTAAAACCTGATACATTTCAGCATTATATGTACTTTCTCTTAGAACTTTGATATAAAGCTTAGAATTTACATACAAATAATTAGAATTTTTGTATGAGCGGAAGGAATTTAGTGATATTATACCTTGGTCAAAGTCATGTACTGTAGTCTTTAACTCCATAATAAAATATCTGCAGAAATATCTAAAACTTTGCTAATACTTCATTTTTTAGAAATAGGAGTAGAAGAAACTAATGAATCTAATTTTGGAGGGGCTAGCTTCTTTACTATCTCTTTTTGTAAGTTAAAAGTATCAGCTAAAGGTTTATGACCTTTTTTTCTATTGACCTATATAAAAATAGATAAATCAAACTCCCTCAGTAATAAGTATCATCATTGGAGGATAATGAAATAAAAAATAAATATTTTTAAAATGATGATATCAGAAGTAACAATCATATAATATGCTTAAAACACAGAATATTATTCAGTATACTTTTATCAAAAGGAAGGTACATAACTGAATCCTCTTTCAGAAACAGTAGACTTTTGTCAAAAAATATCACTAAATAATCTCACAGCATTTAATAGAATAAATATACTAAAGTACTGCAATAACTGAGGGTTTAAACAAAAGCTTTTTATGCTTAACATACTCATATCTAAAAAATGCATGTTTGGACTTGTGGAATGGAAAATACATACCTTTTTATTAAGTAAAAGATTTCTAACAACTTCAAGGATCTCTTACGAAGCCATTGGATCATCACAGAAAATATATAATGTATTATAAAATATCGTATATACTTCATTTTTTTTGGTAGATTCAAACATATTAGTTGACCAGAATATGAAATGCTGAAGAGACTATACTTCACACGGAAAAAGCCAAATATATTTGATTTTTCCTTTTTTGAGAGCTCTTGTTTTCTCTTTTAATATTTTAGCTTGTTTTTCAAGCTTCATAGCAGATTCTCGCTTTATACCATCCTTCATGAACTTTTTTTTGGTCATGTCTGAAAAGGTCTGATCATCAATTTTCTGCTTACAAAGGATCTTAAAATCATCCTCATTAAGATTTATGTTTAGGTCACGTAAAAAAATAATGAGAGTCTCAGTATCCCAGTTTTTGACCAAAGTGAAGCAGTTTAAAGAAATTGTAGAAGTAGACATGATTTATTAGTTATTAGAAGTAAAGAATCCAAATAATAAAAAATACATATATTGAACTTACCCTTTATAATTTATAGCCTTTTTATAAATAAGAAGAGACGCACTAGAATTTGTTTTTAGCAAGAAATACGTATACTTATATTTTGTAATAATGGAGGTATCACTAAATTAGTATATTACTATTTTAGTATAATTAGTATTATGTTATTTAGGAGCTAATCTAGAATAGGCAGATCATAATCTTTATTCTACATAAATCTGCAGGTGATACATTTCATTAGATAGACAATATATTATTTTATTAATATAATATTTAGATCTGGGTTAAGGTCTGATCTGGAAAATTTAGCTCACAAACTCACAATTATCATCTAAGTTTGTGAAATTTACAGTAATATCCTTTCTATAAATATGATATATGTATTTTAACAGTGAATCACATATAAATTTCATTTCTGATAATTTAATCTTATATATCTTATATTCTGAAATTCTAATGAAGTATACAAAATTATACTTTTTATGAATATTATAATATCCAGGATTCTGTAGCCATTTTAACATGTTAAGCTAATATGTATTTCTAACAACTATATAGTCTTGCTGATATAATAATTTCTTAACAAGTATGTATGTTATAAAAGATAATCATTATCATAATTGGACTCTCTTCTCATACATCTAGTCATTTCTTACTGGATAACAATATCCTTCATCCTCATAACAAATATATCCTGATTGTTTTAATTTATTTTTTATACTTAAAAACTTCATATCATCAGGAGTACCATCATTTCTCACTGTTTCTCAAATTCGTTTTGCCAAATATTCAGGTCTTTTCTTGTAATTTCTATAAGCTTACTAGATAACTATCGCATAGAAATTCTCAAATTGATAGTTATATTGTCTTGTAATCAAGAATTCCCAAGATCACTTCATTGATTTTTCTGAAATACTTCACTAAAATAGTTATATAATATATTGGAGAATCCCAAAATAAACAGATCATGCATAGCGTCTGCAGGTAATACATTTCACAGGTAATCATTCAGATTATATAATGCAAAAATAAATTATATTTCAGTTGAAAGCAATAGTCTATAATTAAAAATTTTTTGAAATCATTCAATTAAACCAGTTAAACAATCGTGACTTTTGTCTTATCTTTCAATCTAAACATAGTACCTTTTGGATGATTGAGATGGTTTAAATTATTTTATTTTGTGTATATAAATGAGACAAATATTTCACTCTCACTTATTCTATCAAACTGTGAGAGGAAATCAGGTGTAATTTTTTAAAATATAATATTCCCTTCCGGTCAAAAGATTTTTCACGTAATATTTTTGACTTTGATCTTACAAGAAAATAGGCTTATATATGTTTATTAGTCTTGAAACATAAGTTATCCCAATGTTTTATCAAGTCTTCAGGCTTAATCTCATACTCATATCTCTGCCATCCACTGAAATATGTTTTTTTTTGATTTTACATTAGTGATTCTACTAATTTTCAACAATCAAAACAAATAGTTATCTTGCAATTATGAATATTAGGTCTGTAATAACCAATGGCAACTTCTCTCCCTTTGTAATTATCATAGTATATCATGGTTTCTCCTTGCCCAGATGATCTGCAAAGGCAGAATACATGATAATAGCTTTTATGATCTTCAGTAATCAATGCTTGCAAAGCGTCTTTTATACGAATAGCCTATTGTTGTAGAGGTTCATATAAACTAATAATAGATAAATTATCATATATTTTTTCAACCTCAACCATTTTTTCAAATTGATCAGGATAAAGGAAACCATAACAGTTTCTAATATATTCAATATCGTATCCAGAACAAAGTTTGATGGGTTTAGGTACAGATTTATTATAAACCTCATTTAAAATAATATTAATAAATTTATTAGGCCTAGGTCTATTAATATGAGTTTCTGATATATTTAACAATTTATAACGTTTTTATAATTTTTTAATGATTTTAGCTAATTTAGCAATAGTATACAGTCAGAATTCGATATAATGAACCCTCCATTCAGATGATTTTGTATCATTATATCAAATATTCAATAAGACAAATATTCTTATTATATCAAACTTACTATATAAAATTTTTATAATTCAGTTTATCAATTTTTTTTGCAATACATAATAAGCAACAAGTTCAATATTTAAAGTATTCAGATTATCAATTTTCTTTTGACAAAGTTTTTGCTTTTGAGATACAGATAGGGTAACATGCTTATTTTTATTATTTGTAAATATGCTAATGATATAAAAGAGTTATCAAAGGGGATGAGTTATCAATAAAAATATATTTTATAGTTAACATTCGTTATTTTGCTATATTTGGTAAATATCGATAAAAATTGGTATATAAAATAAAAAAATTCTTTATAACGATGATCAATATATTGAAAAAAAAATCAGTATCAGCTTATCACGAATAAATACATATAACTGGTTTATGATCTGATATCAGTATATATAATATCACGAAATTTATAAGAAAATCGATATATAGTTGTAAGATTAATTATATATAGTTTTTGTTTGAGAAAAAAGATCAGTATGAGCCAAAATCAGTTTATCCCAAATCATTATATCAAGTTCTGACTGTATACTTTAATAAAACCAAGTTCATTTTTATTCAATTAAAAGCATATCAGAAAGGTTATATCTTATATACATATGCATAGCATTTTCGGCTAAATTAGTTTGTAATATGATGTATAATGTATCACATGTGATTTTCTAAATCTCTACCAGTTTCTTGATAGACGATCATTTATATAGCTATTTATTTCACAAAAAAAATGTTATAAATAATTCATATATCACACTTTCAGTTAAATAAGTTGAGATAAATAATGTTATTATTCAGTCAAAAGATATTAAGTTATCTTTACATTATTTCGCAAATATTCTTCAGCATCAATCAAGACCTGGCTTCTTTTAAATCTATAGGCTGAAATCTTTGATGCATTTGCATTACATCACATAGTGTATTTCTTGAAGCTATTCATTAATGTAATAGGCTTTGGTAGCAATAGAAGAGAAGTCAATAGACGTGGCTTATCTGTCTTATAGGAATAATATCTCTGGTATTAAACAGAAGAAGAGGTTAAGAAGATATTATCCATACAGATATTTTTTTGCTGGTTATAAATATAGTAAGGTTTGCTAGGTATAGTGTTTACATTACTTTGCATTTTATGCTTTTGCCTGATACGTCTAATCCTATTTGATACATTTTTCAACTACATCTCATATTGATAGATTACCTTTTTTGTGAAATAGTAAGGTGGAGAATTATTTTTCAGCTTCATGTAGTCTTCAAAACTTATATCATAATATTCATTTCTAGTACAATTTATACATCAATGCTTATCTATAAAGAATGTATGAAAATACTCATACCCACTTTCTAATTTGGAATAGATAAGCTGTTTACAAGAATAGCATATTCCTATATTTACTCTGAACTAAACATTACACTGATATAATAAATATATTTGTTTTCTTGTAATAGATATCTCTTATTATAATCAGTTAAAAGATGATTTTTTCTATATATCATTAATGTATCTCAAATTCGATTCTTCTAATTTGATAGAGTCTCATTTTCACGCATTCTAGAAAGATCATAGTTAATATGCGAATTAGTTATACTTAAATGTATAAAGGAGTCAAAATATACCATATTTATTGATTTTAGCTTAGTGATTTTAATGATTTATAGCAAATATACTATAATAAATATCAGATTCATTTTTATTCGATTATAAGCATATCAGGAATTTATATAGGGGCTATGCTAATTTTATATTTATATGCATATATACAGCGTCGGCTAAAATCAGTTTGTGGCATGGATATACTATATATCGTATTACATGAGATCTCCCTAATTCCATAGATAGTTTTAGGAGAGTTTCAGGTGCTGACAAGTTTTCACAAATTACGAGATGATCAGTTCTCTGTAAAAATATACACAAATTATATATCATTTCGCATGTAGCATATATTAATTAAAAAAATATTAGGAGATTAAAAAAGGAGAAAAGTCTGATATGGACAAACTTTATTATTATATACGGTTAAAAATTTTATTTAAGAGAATGTGAACTGAAATTATAATACAATTTGATAACATTTCGTTTTACAATCTCTTCCTGTCCTTTCATATTAATTATTGTATTATACAAATCAAAAAAATCCCAAGTTCCCTCTTTCATAACTTTGGAATTCTGAGATGTTTTAGAGGATAATTCTTTGATAAGTTTTTTTAGTGTACCTGATACTTGATTCTTTTGAGACCTTTTCTTCTCACCACTCTTTTTGGCTTTCTTGCTAGACGATTTTTCAGTTGATTCATTAGAACATTTTTTCTGCAAACTACTAGGATCTGAGGTTTTCAAATTATTAGTTTTTATATCATCAGCTGAAGTACAGGTAGGATATCTTTTATAAAGATCATTAATGCAATCTAAATGCACAGCATGTTTGCAAGATAAAAAGGCAGTATTTTTCTGAAGATCTATGATAATATTTTCAAAGCATTTCTCACATTTAGGGTTGGTTACCTAGTTAGAAATTTCTTTAGTGATCTCAGTAGTCTTAAACAAACTTTGCTTTCTACCTGACAATAGTATATTCATGAGTTCTACATTACTATCGGAATTCACGTTATCAACAGAAGAAATTGCAACTCCAAATATCACGTGGGATCTGTCAATCAATAATGATCTCACATTAGATGATATCATTGCTGTGTCAAACAGTGATTAGCAATAATTTCTGTTTCACCTAACATGCTTGTTTCTTCTGTATTTTCTAAACAATCTGTTCAATCTGTTTACTTTATTTCATTTATAATTTCTTTAAAGTTTATAATTTACTTTTATTATTTTTATTATTTTTATTATTTTATTATATTTTAGTATATTTTATTGAGACATATATCTATATTTAGTTAATTTATAGCATAG